TGACTCTTTTAAAATAAATGGGTATGTGCCTTTTATGTTTCACAAACAGCTTTGTTTCTTTTTTAATTTAGAGGGGCAAAACAAAGGTAAGCACGTTATTTAAGCTCATAAAAAAGGACACTGAAAACTTGCAATAATTTATTCAGATATATTCTTTCCATAGTAGTACACTCAATTCTACTTATATAATAAATATTAGGTACTAACGCTAATTACTACTACTTAGTCCTTAGTAAAACTAATAAACAGAATAGTGCTCTCTGCTGAAAATGTTAAATTATATATTAGTTCACACAAAGTCTAATAAACATACATTTCTGTACTGTACTTATATTAGTACTAATTAGTAGATTTATCAGAAATGATTTATGAAGATTATTTTCAAATATTAATGTCTAATGTTTCAGCCGTATATTAATAAACTTTTACACAATTATATAAGCATATTCACATATTTAATACTGTAATGAAAAACAGATGGTTATAGGTGTTTATTATGATTAATGCTAAGAAATATTTCTTCTATGCAGAAAAAGGAATATAACAGAAATATTTATAGTGGAATAAAGCAGGACAAAAGCTTTTATAATGTTTTGCTTAGTGCTGTATTACAGCAGATATATACAGAACTTTCTCTTTCTTGCATCAGCAGAACAAAAAGAAAGCAAGTAGATAGAAAAAACTTTCACTTGCAGATATGCTGGCTATAAAAATAAGCTCAAGAACTCTTTATTATGTATTTCAGACATACAAATTAGTGCAGGCATACATTCAATTTTGACAAATTGAACTAGTATTGTCAATGTGAAATGCTGGAACTGAACAGGACTGAACTGTTCATCGATTTATTACATTACTTATTTACATTAAGAAAGGTTGTGTTGGATTTTTAATTGTGCCTATCCAGTTCCCAAAATTGCAAAAAAATAAAAATCTAATTAAAAAACCTCCAAAAGTAGAATAACAATTTTAATTATGTGAAGCACAACCTAATTGAAAATGCACGGTGGCATCTAATTTCATTTTAAATATACAACGCCAGCTGAAATTATGCTGTTTTGATTATTAAAAGAAAATAAATTCTCTAATACTTTTGATCAGGATAGATAAACGTTTGCAAATTTTCCCCCCTGTTGCAAAAGAGTTCCATTATTAAGTGCAATATTGTCCTTAGAGGAACAGCTTTCTGCTCATCTAA